GAACCTCCATGCTATTTTCCATTAAGGCTGAACCAATTTACTTTGCCACCAACAGTGCAAAAAGGTTCCCTTTTCTCCATATCCTCATCTACACTTATCTTTTTTCTTTTTGATGATAACCATCTAATAGGTTTGAGGTGATATCTCCTTGTGGTTTTAATTTGCATTTTCCTGATAATTAGTGATGTTGAGCATCTTTTCATGTATCCATTGGCCATTTGGATGTCCTCCTTGAAAAAATGTCTGTTTAGGTCATTCTGCCCATTTAATTGAATTGATTTTTATGGGTTGTTTTTGGTTTTGCTATTTATTTGTTTATTTATTTATTTATTGCCTTTTAAAGTTTTTATTTTAATTCCAGTTAGTTAACATACAGTATTGGTTTCAATTGTACAACATAGCGATTTAACAATTCCATATATCACCTAGTACTCATCAAAACAAGTGTACTCCTTAATCCCCATCACCTGTTTAACCCATCCCCCCAACCCCCTCCTCTCTGGTAACCATCAGTTCTCTATATTTAAGAGTCTGGTTTTTTTGTCTCTTTCCTTTGCTCATTTGTTTTGTTTCTTAAATTCCAAATATGAGTGAAAATCTTATGGTATTTGCTTTTCTCTGACTTAGTTCGCTTAGCATTATACCCTCTAGACCCATCCATGTTGTTGCAAATGGCAAGATGTCATTCTTTTTTATGGCTGAGTTATATTTCATACCCCCTCTTCTTTATCCATTCATCTATCAATGGACATCAGGTTGCTTCCATAATATGGCTGTTATAAATAATGCTGTGTATTTTTCCCTCCAATTCTGGTCACATTTGCTTTATATATTTAGGTTCTCTGTGTTGGATGCATAACTATTCAGAAATCTTATATTCTCTTTATGAATTGACCTTTTATTATTATATTATTCTCTTCATTGTCCCTTGCTACAGTCTTTGGCTTAAAGTGTGTTTTGTTTGGTAGTATAGCTACTCCTGCTTTCCTCTTGGTTTCCATTTGCATGGAATATCTTTTACCATCAACTTCACTTCTGCTTGTGTGTGTCCTAAAAACTGAAACGAGCTTTTTGTATATAGTATAGTTGGGTATTATTTTTTTATTTCAACATTCTGTTTCTTTTGATTGCAGGATTTAATCCATTACATTTAAAGTAATTATTGATAGATACGGGTTTACTATTGCCATGTTGTTATTTGTTTTCAGAGTGTTTTGTAATTCCTTTACCCTTTATTTCCTTTCTTGTTCTCTTCCTTTGTGACTTGATCATTTTCTGTACCAGTATGCCTAGATTTTTTTTTCTTTTCACCTTTTGTGTATCTGGTGTAGGTTTTTGCTTTATGATTACCATGGGGCTTACGTAAAATATCTTGTAACAGTGTATTTTAAGCAATAACAGCTTAACTTCTAATGTGTACAAAAGCTCTACATTTATACTTTTATGTTTTTAATATCATAATTTATGTCTTTTTACATTGTTTATCCATTTACAGATTATTATAGTTATGTTTAATACTTTTTAAAAAATCTCCATGTTAATGAGAAGTGATTTACCCACCACCATTACAAAATTAGAGTGTTCTGAAATTAACTATATATTTACCTTCACCAGTGAGTTTTACATTTTTATATGTTTTGCTTATACTGATGTCTCTTTGTTTTAGGTTCAGGAATTACCTTTAAAAAAGAAATAAGTTTATTGGGGCGCCTGGGTGACTCACTCAGTTGAGCGTCCAACTTTAGCTCAGGTCACGATCTCAGGGTTTTTGAGTTCGAGTCCCACCTTGGGCTTTCTGCTGTCAGTGAGGAGCCTGCTCTGATCCTCTGTTCCCCCTATCTCTGCACCTCCCCCATTCACATTCTGTCTCTCAAAAATAAATAAAACTTTTTTTTTAAGTTTATAAAAATTAAGTTAACGTAGTCTCTACACTCAACATGGGGCTTGAACTCAATGATCCTGAGATCAAGGGCCACATGCTCTACCAATTGAGTCAGCCAGGCACCTCAGATTCAGAAATTACCTTTAACATTTCTTGTAAGAGTGATCTAGTGTTGATGAACTCCTTCAGCTTTTATTTTCTTGGAAAACTCTGTAATGTGTCTCATTGTGTGTTTCTTTGGATTCATCATGTTTAGGACTCTTTGAGTTTCCTGGGTCTCCATGTCTGTTTCTTTTCCCAGATTGGGATATTTTCAGTCATTTCTTTGAATAAGTTTTCTGCCTCTTTCTCTCATTCTTTCTCCTTCTGGGATCCCTTTAATGTGCACTTTGGTCCATTTGACGATGTGCTATATATAGTCCCTTAAGCTGTCTTCATTCTTTTTTATTCTCTTTTCTTTTGTTACTGTAATTAGGCAGTTTCCTTAATTTTTCCGCCAGAAATTAATTTGCTTTATATTCAGTGAGACTGGTGTCATAGGGCTTGGAATTTCATAGAAATTTAAGAGGTCATCCTGTAATAGATGATTGTTACTATGGATGGCCAGAAGTTCACTAGATGAAAAAGAGAGGGAGTTCTTAACATGGAAAACAGCTGTTAGGGTACAGATTGGGTGTTATAAATCACCTCTTGAAAGAAAATGTGCCAGACACTAATTTATTACAAGATCTTTCTGCCTGCTACCTTTTCCAAGGTCTGACTGCAGTCTGCATTCAAAGCTTATGTATGAGTTCTGACATCAGGGCCCACAGGGATTCACAGTCACTTGCATTCACTTGGTCTCAAGATATTATAGCCTTGGGTTTCCTTAAGCATTGTACCAAAATTAAACCCGAGAACTGGTTTGGGGACCAGCAGTTTTATTGAAGAGAACTGTCTTAGCATTAGCATCATGAAGTTCCAGAATGTTTTAAGTAAATGATTGAATGTAACTATTATAATTCCCTTAGTAAATCTTTTCTCCAGGCTAACAATCTCAAAATTCTTCACCACTTTTCTATATATCTTGGCTTCTAAGCCATTGTTACCTTGGATGCTATATTCCAAACGCTTTATGAAATAGTTTGTTAGAATTCTTTTGAATAAAACCACTTAAAAGGAGACTGCTTTGTATCATTATATCATTTGTTGTGGTGTGATCTCCAAGATACATTACTAAGTGAAAAAAAATAAAATATGTACTATACAGTATGTCTATATTAAACTCTTAACAATATGGGAATGCAGAAAGTCTATTACTTTCCTTGGCCTATTGTTTGAAACCAAAACTAATAATATTCAGCAACATAATTTAGGGACTTGCAACAATCAACAAATCTGGTTTGAGTCTAAAAATTATGGACTTTTAAGTTGTTGTCTTTCTATCTTTATCTCGTATAAGATTGACTTAAGTTTTTAGTTCACAAAAACATCTGTGGCAATAGCTATAGCTTATACCCTAAACATTACAAACTGATTATTTTTGTTGTCGTTATTCTGAAGAACAAGAATACAGATGTCCTAATGTTATTTCTTCTATAGCCAGTATTATCCGGCAGGTAGTTACAATATAATATAAAAGGGCCTTTGAGTTAAGACTTGTAGCTATGTCTTAAGGCTTAGTGTGTTTGCCACATGCAAAATGTTTTGATAAACAGTACTCAGATTTTAATGCACATTAGTCTTGGAAGATTCCTGTCATGTATAGTTATAAATTAGAGATCCTTTCCTAGTTGCTGAAAGCATATCAGGTAGTGGAATTAAGACTCTTGAACGGCTGCAGTCAGTGACCTCAAAGTGACCATTTAGCCGGGAGTGGCAATTACAGTGTTAGTTGTGTTAATACGGCAAATTAAAAACATTAATAATTTTTTTTTAATATTAGCAAATTGCTTTTTAGACTTTGAACTGTTGGATTTTTAGATTGTATTGCCTTGACATTTCCTACTAGTTATTTATAAGCTACTATTTATTTTTGGCTATCTCAACATCTAAAATTCAGGTATGAGAGAAATCTTTTCACCAGAGTGCTGTGTAGCTGGTATTTTGGTAAAGATTTTTCTCATACCTATATTTGTAAGATAAGATTATGCAGAAGATGCAGTGTTTTGTATGTTGCATACACAGAATCACAGCTTGGATGCCAGATAAAAAATGGGCCTATTAATATTATACCCTTTTAGTTTAATATATGCCATATTTGATTTTGTTACTATTCAAGTATTTACTTGTGTTCTTCCCAGCTCTGCTCTTTTCTAAATATGGCATATGTAGGGGTGGCTGGGTAGCTCAGTCGGTTAAGCATCCAACTCTGAATTTTGTCTCAGATCCTGATCTCATGGTTTGTGAGATTGAGCCCCAATGTCAGTGCAGTGCCTGCTTGGGGTTCTCTCCCTCTCTCTCTCTCTCTTTTTATGCCCCTCCCTCACTCATGTAACTCTCTCCCTCAAAATAATAAACTTTTTTTAAATAAAAAAATAAATGTGATATATATAAAGGATTTCCAGCAGTTTCCTTAATTTTGTAGTCAAAAGTAAAAGGTTTTTTGCCTCAGACTTGTTAATTGAGTTTCCACGATGTGTAGTTTTATTTTTTTAATGCTATAATTCAATGTACTTTGTGTTTGAAAGATCATTAGCTGTTTAAACCTATGGATTCCTAATTCTGTCTTGTTTTAGGATTTAAGAAATTGCATCAAAGTAAAAACTGTAAAATCAATCCCTTTAAAAAAAAACTTGGTATTTTGGAATCTGTAGGCTTCCGTGTATATGTCATTATACCCTATTACTGAGACCTTTTGAATTATATGATATTTTCAAATTGTGGCTTTCAGTAATTTAAGAAATTAGAAAATTATTCACAAAAAATTCTAAACAAAAGTTAAGCATTTTCTCAACTGGAATATGAATGTTATATCAGAGGGGAAAGGTTGAAAAGTTTTTGAAATTCAAGTTTATGTCTAGTATAAAAAATCAGTTGTAGAAAAAAATATGTACTAGAATAACTCCGGATATAAGATGGAAAATATATGAAAATGAGAACTGCTTACTATAGTAACACTCTGAATTTCTAATTTCAGGTGATGGAATATGAGAATAGGATTCGAGCATATTCCACACCAGACAAGATCTTCCGTTATTTTGCCACCTTGAAAGTAATCAATGAACCTGGTGAATCTGAAGTGTTTATGACCCCCCAAGATTTTGTGCGATCCATAACACCTAATGAAAAACAACCAGAACGTAAGTGCTAAAGGGAAAAATAAGATTATGATATTAATTTTTTTATGTTCTTCTTTGTATTGCCTAAACGTTATAGGTCCATGCAATAATTATATTCATTGTGTACTGACTGAATGTCACGTATTATTCCAGTCTTTAGCAGTATAAAAGAGGAGCCCACAGTCTAATGAGCCAATCCTCAACCAGGGTACCAGGTTGAGGAGATTGTAGCCAGGTATCATCTACTGGAAAGATTTAAAGACATATGGTACTTGTTGTCATTGGGCCAAGTGATTGCAGATGGGACAAGCAGCAGACAGACTAAAAAGCCTAGAAAGGAGGAGACTTTGGAGGAAGACAGGGTGTAGAAGGGTGTAGAAGCTTCGAAGAACCATTGTGTATACCTGGAAATCCATAGTGCGGCATGCATGCCCAGGGCCAGACACATGCTTGGAAAACACTTGAGTGAGCTTGTACTTCTTGCTCATCTTTGTGCCCCATGCAGGGAAGTAGTGAAAGTTAACGCAGAGGTGTAGCAGCTCTAGCTAAAAATTAAAGTAGGTCCCCAGCTCAGAGCCAGTCTGCAAACATTAAGAGAGTTTGTGGTTTTTTTGTTTTGTTTTGTTTTCATTCTTTTTGCCTCAAACATTTGAATAAGTCTTTGTCCAGTCACTTGCTATTTAGATAATAGAACAGAAATTTCAACGATGACACAAAACAGAGAACACAGCCTTTGCAAAAAAAATATTTTGGAAAAAAATCACTAAACATTGATGAATGTAGTCTTCCACAATGTATATCACACCAAACACTGGGAAATAGGGAGAATCTGGTTTTCAGAATTACCCCATTATAATATTCAAAATGTTCAATCTTTAATAAAACAATTTCATGGCATACTAATAATCAGGAATAAATGACCCATCAATAGAAAGAAAAAGAAATTGACAGAAACCATCCCTGAGGAAGCCCAAGCATTGCACTTACTAGATAATGACTTTAAGTTAACTGTCTCAGGGCACTTGGGTGGCTCAGCTGGTTAAGCGTCCAACTTTGGCTCAGGTTATGGTCTCAGGGTTCGTGGGTTTGAGCCCTGTGTCGAGCTTGGTGCTGACAACTCAGCCTGGAGCCTCTTGGGATTCTGTGTCTCCCTCTCTCTCTCTGCCCCGTTCACACACTAGGGCGCGCTCTCTCTCACTCACTCTCATAAATAAACATTAAGAAAAAAAAGATGTTAATTATAATCCCCCAATTAGACATTAAGAAAATAACTCTTTCAAGACAAAGACATTATGTATTGATAAAAGGATTAGTTCATCAAGAAGATATAAGCGTGGTAAATATATACATACCAAATGACTGACCCCAAAATATATGAAGGAAACTGACAGAATTAAAGGAAATAATAGTTCTTCAGTAATAGTCGGAGACTTCAGTACTGCCATTTTGATAATGGATAGAACATTTAGAAAGAAGGTTAGTGAAGAAAGAGGACTTAATGCTATAAGCCAATTAGACCAAATACACATTTATAGAACCATTCTACTCAAGAGCAGCAGAATACAGTCTTTTCAGGTGCATATCAAACATTCTCCAGAATAGACAAGATAGACTGTATATTAGGTTATGAAATAAATCTTAATGAATTTCAAAGATTAAAATGATACAGAGTATCTTTTCTGATTACAATAGGATGAAACAATCCATATGTAACAGAAGGAAAACTAGAAAATTCATAAATGTGTGGAAAGTAAACAGCATACACTTAACCCCTGGATCAGAGAAGAAATCACAAGAGAAGTTGGAAAATACTTTGAATAAATGAAAGAGAAAATAGAATTTAACAAAACTTATGCAGTGCTGCAAAGTAGTGCATAGAAGGAAACTCATAGCTATAAACACCAACATTTAAAAAGTTTTTTTAGGGGTGCCTGGGTGGCGCAGTCGGTTAAGCGTCCGACTTCAGCCAGGTCACGATATCGCGGTCCGTGAGTTCGAGCCCCGCGTCAGGCTCTGGGCTGATGGCTCGGAGTCTGGAGCCTGTTTCCGATGCTGTGTCTCCCTCTCTCTCTGCCCCTCCCCCGTTCATGCTCTGTCTCTCTCTGTCCCAAAAATAAATAAAAAAACGTTGAAAAAAAAATTTTTTTTTAAAGTTTTTTTAAATGTTTATTTCTGAGAGAGCGAGAGAGAGAGAGAGCGCGCATGAGTGGAGGAGGGGCAGAGAGAGAGAGGGAGACACAGAATCCAAAGCAGGCTCCAGGCTCTGAGCTCTCAGCACAGAGCCTGACACGGGGCTCAAACTCGTGAACTGCGAGATTATGACCTGAGCGGAGTTGGTCATCTAACTGACTGAGCTACCCAGGCGCCCCTATAACCACCAACATTTAAAAAGAAGAATGATCTCAAATCAGTTTCCTAAAAATGGGTGTTGGAACTAAAAAGAAGAGCAGACAAAACCCAAAGATAGAGAAATAAAGAAATAATAAATGTTAATGCAGCAATAAATGGAGAATAGAAAAACAATAGAGCAAATCAACAAACAAAATTTGATTCTTCGAAAAGATCCAAAAAAATGAGGGGCCTTTAGCTAGACCAGGGAAAAAAAGAAGCAAAATAACTAAAATCAGAAATGCAAGTGGGGACATTACTACCTACTTATAGAAATAAAAAGGATTATAAAAGACTACTATGAAGGATTGTATACCAACAAATTCAATTACCTAGATAAAGATGGAAAAATTTCCAGACACAAACTACCAGAGCTCTTAAAATTCAACAAAAAGACAAACAACTCAATTAACAAATGGGAAAGGATTTGAATGTACATTTCTCCAGATAAATATGCAAATGGCCAATAAGCACATGAGAACATGCTAAATGTCATTAAGCATGAGGGAAATACAGATCAAAAACACTATATACTACCTCACACGCATATTTAAAAAACAAAGAAGTGTTGGTGATTATGTGTAGAAATTAAAGCCCTCGTCTATTGCTGGTAAGAATGTAAAATGGTGCAAACACTATGGAGAACAATTTGTCCATTTCTCAGAAACATGGAATTAACCGTATGACCCAACACTTCCACTAGTAGTATAAGCCCGAATGAATTGAAAACAGGTGCTCGAATGAGTGCCTGTACACGAATATTCACAGCAACACTATTCACAATACCCCAAAAATGGAAACACCCCAAATGTCATTTAACAGATGAATGGATAAACAAAGTATAGCGTATACATACAACGGAATATTATTCAGATGTGGTTGAACCTTGACAACATTATGTTAAGTGAAACAAGCTAAAGACAAAAGGCCACATATCCTCTGATTTTATTTATGTGAAATATCTAATATAGGTAAATCCATAGAGATGGAAAGTGGGTTGTTAGTTGCCAACAGCTTGTTGGGGGAATGAGAACAGATTGCTTAATTGGTGTGAGAATTTCTATTTTGGAGTGATGAAAAGGTTTTGGAACTAGATAGAGGTGGTAGTTATGCAACACCGAAGTACTAAATGCCACTGAACTGGATGGATACTTTGAAATGGTGATTTTATGTTAATGGAATTTCACCTCAATTTTTAAAAGTGGAAAAAAGAATGTGCAGTCAGTCCTCATTTGCAAATTTTGTGTTTGCAAGTTTGCATCCTCACTAAAAGGTACTTGTAATCCCATAATCAGTACTTGCAGTGCTGTTGAGTCATCTGCAGATACATGCAGAACAGCAAAAATTTGAGTCACCCATTACATATGTTGGCCAGCTGAAGTCAAGCAAACGAAGACTCTGCCTTTTTGTTTCAGTTTTCTTTCTTTAAACAAGTGTCCGTGGAGGGAGGGCAGGAGAGAAGAGAGAGAGAGTATAAAATGTCTTAAACAGAAACACAAATAAATCAAGTTTATATATCGATCAGTTAACAAAAATGTTGTGACCAGAGGTTCGAGAAACCCAACCCTGTATTTCCCCTAGGAGAAATAGGTCAGTATTCAGCACTTCATTTTTCATGGCAATTTTATAGAGTATAAATGCCACAATTAGCAGAAATCAGTTGTATATGGTACAGGAGTAGGATATAAAAATGAAACTGTTCTTGGGGCGCCTGGGTGGCGCAGTCGGTTAAGCATCCGACTTCAGCCAGGTCACGATCTCGCGGTCTGTGAGTTCGAGCCCCGCGTCGGGCTCTGGGCTGATGGCTCAGAGCCTGGAGCCTGTTTCCGATTCTGTGTCTCCCTCTCTCTCTGCCCCTCGCCCATTCATGCTCTGTCTCTCTCTGTCCCAAAAATAAATAAACGTTGAAAAAAAAATTAAAAAAAAAAAAAAAAATGAAACTGTTCTTTTACAGGGTATGTTTAAAGAAGATATCCTAAAGGGGGCAGCAGTTGAGTTAAGCTTTGAAGTATGAATAATAGGGGTACCTGGATGGCTCAGTCAGTGAGTGTCCAACTTTGGCTTAGGTCATGATCTCATGGTTCGTGGGTTTGAGCCTCGCGTTGGGCTCTGTGCTGACAGCTCAGAGCCTGGAGCCTGCTTCAGATTCTATGTCTCCCTCTCTCTCTCTGCCCCTCCTCAGCTTGTGCTCTCTCTCTCAAAAATAAATAAAAATTAAAAAAAAGAAGAAAACTGAATAGTAATTCATCATGTATTTGAGAGGGAAAGGGCATTCATTCAGATTGAGTAAATTGTATGGTCAGAATACAGATGTGAAATAGCAGTGTGAGTTTGGGTAACCAGCAAGAGTTATGTTTTCTAACCAGGGAGTTTATAATGTTTTGCCCATATTTATTAACATTAAATATCTCTAGGACAAATGAAAACTCCAGGTAGAACTATCACCTCTCAGCAGTACAGGAAATCTATATATTTAATATATTTTGTTATGGCAATTTTCAAATATAAAAATGCAGAGAATAAAATCAATTATAAATCAGCCTATATATATATACCTATCACTTAGCTTCAACAGTTGTCAACACATGGCCAATCTTTTTTTTTTTTAAGTTTATTTATTTTGAGAGAGAGAG